GTGGCTGGGCCCACAGGCCGAACACCTGAGGGACCCCTGGGGGAGAGGTGGCCCCGCCCACGGAGGTGGGCTCAGAGGGTTGGGCTGGGAATTCTGGGCTCCCATCCTCTGGGTTGGACTCCAAGCGGGGATGGCCCACGGGAGGGTCACTCCAGGGAAGGCCACAGGGTTCTGCCTATGCTGGACCCCGGGGTGCTGGCCACACTGGTGGGTAGATGGCTGTGGGCTGGGGGTGCGGATGCTGGTGGGGGTGCTCCGTCCCCCAGGGAGGCGGCTGGCTGCCTGGTGTTGCTCCCTGTGACCGGCTATCTCACCCTCCGTGCCTCAGGTTCTCTGCCTGTCATTTAAAATAAAATGTTTTTATAGCCCTGGCTGGTTCGGATCAGTGGATAGAGCGCTGGCCTGCAGACTGAGAGGTCTCGGCTTCGATTCCGGCCAAGGGCACGTACCTAGGCTGCGGGCTTGATCCCCGGCCCTGATCGGGGTGCATGCAGGAGGCAACCAATCAATGTGTCTCTCTTATCACTGATGTTTCTATATCTCTCTCCCTCTTCCTTCCTCTCTGAAATCAACACAAATGTATTTTTAAGAAGCTTTAAAAAATATGTTTATCGATTTTAGAGAGGGAGAGGGATAGAGCAGCGGTTCTCAACCTGTGGGTCGCGACCCCTTTGGCAGTCCAACGACCCTTTCACAGGGGCCGCCTAAGACCATCGGACAACACATATATAATTACATATTGTTTTTGTGATTAATCACTATGCTTTAATTATGTTCAATTTGTAACAATGAAAATACATCCTGCATATCAGATATTTACATTACGATTCATAACAGTAGCAACATTACAGTTATGAAGTAGCAACGAAAATAATTTTATGTTTGGGGGTCACCACAACACGAGGAACTGTATGAAAGGGTCGCGGCGTTAGGAAGGTTGAGAACCAGTGGGATAGAGAGAGAGAGCACGCCCCCTACTGGGGATCAGCCCACAACCCACGCATGTGCCCTGCCGGGCATGGAACTGGTCACCTCCGGGCTCGGTCCGCGCCGTCTGAGCCGCGCCCGGCCTGTGGTTTGGGACCGGCCACGGCACCTGCTCTGCTTAGGCCGC